AGAGGAAAGACAAAAGAGCAACTCATTTCCGAGCTACTGCAAAAAAAAAAAATAAGTAAAGTTCCAATACTCTTGAAAATTTAAAGGCACAGTTCACGATGAAAATGGTTTCTGAGATTCCCCCACACGATGAATTTAAGGCCCCCGAGTATACCAGATTTGGCACTACTAGTTCGGAAAACGGCCTAGTTAGCGAGTTATAAAGGCTTGAAGATTGGCTCGTGGATATCTTCGGACGAGTTTCACCGGCACTTTAGAGGCTGCATCGATCACAAGGGAACCATGTAGGAAGTTCAATAAACTTGTCACGACCTATAGCGACAGTGAAAGACAGTTCTGTACAGTTCTGGCCTGATGTAGTCAGCTGATTGCTGCAATTGCAATGACTGAAATCTCGTCCGAATACCCCTTCCATGTATTTCTGTCATGACGATCTCGTCCATCCTCTTTTTGCCCACTTTTGAGAAATCATATTTTCTCGAAATCGGCGAATTCTCTTGCTTTCTTCACTACATGAACTATTCCAGATCTATACTTCCGCTTTTCAAATGAAAACGGGTACTTTAAAATTATCGTGAACTGAGCCTTTAGCTTTAATCTGTGGGATTGTCTGTGAGAGAGAGAAATACTCAGTTTGTTGGTAGGTTAACAATGGTGAACCGAATTTGAATTGAAATCGAACATCTTAAAAGTGATTTGAACTGAACATATGCCTTTTATTTTTTCTCGTAGCAATGTGACCAGTCGTAGTAATGTGATCAGCAAGTGAAGCATCTGAAAATTGGAATCGGAAAAGAAGAAAAGAGATTATTAGTCAATGCTTCTGTGTCAAACAGTTTTTTTCTGGAATTCGCTTTAGAAGAGAAAAGAATTTCATGGAATTCCCAGTACAACAGAGATAGACAGCCAAACCGTCGGAGCGGAGGTTCAAGATTCTCTATTCCGCCAACATAGGAGAGGTCTTAGCGAGAGGTCAGAACGTGGATGAATTTGAATGGAACGGAATCTACGGGATTGTCTGTGATAACCACATACATATAATTTATGTCTCCTTAAGACCCCGAAGAAGAGACTCCAGCTGCTCTACCATTTCCTACATCTAATGTATTGATATTTCTAAATTAGCAAAAAATCGCACAAATGGCAATCGACAGTCTTGGTATCTCAGCAACTGATTTCTTGATAGATCGAGTTCCGAATACTACACAAAATTCGCACTCATGGAAAACATTACTCTGTTCTTATAAGTTTTTTTTCGGTAATGCCTACTGTACTGGAGCAGTCACGATAGAAATGCAATTAGAGGCGTACACATCACTCGTTTTCAAGAAATTGGAATTTTCTTCAGCTGACCAGGCTTTCGATGTGTTCAGGAAATCTACTCGTTATGTGTCGATTAATTACAGGGAAACGCACATGCGATAACGAGCTCGCCAGCCTTCATTCAAAAAACATTGCTAGACATCTCATTGAAGAACTCCCACTCCCCAGTTCCCAGTTGTACAATTTGTTCACTGTCACAGGTACATAATTCACTGTTGGGAAGTCACATAAGGAAGAAATAGGGAACGAGGGGATACATAAGTCCTCACAAAGTGCCCCATTTCTATGCCCCACTGTGTGATTACATAATAGCAAGTAATGTTCTGGGCGATCTTTTTTCCATCATTCTTCTTAATACAAGAGTACTTTCGAACCAACGCAGCTTATAGACACTTTATCCTGATGTGGAACTAATTTTCAGAAGTTTTTTGGAAGTTTGTCACCATCTGGAGCCTTTTTTCAGACAATGGGCGTACATATGAAGTTGGCTGACAGGTGCCTGATTCAACTTATGACTGCATGCATATTTATGAATCCCACGTGTCCCCTAAATGGATATGGTTCCAACATTTTTGATTGGAGAGCAAAGGCGAGCCCCAGATTTTTGGCAAAAAAAATTCGATAACGGTCGCCTCACCGATATAGAACTTTTTTGAAACGTCAGCTGCTTCTTCTCAAAAAAGCCGATACGGCTCCGTGGGATAAGCCTATACGGCGTCGTATACTAGTACTGACATTTACATTTACATTTAAGAAAGCAAGTTCGTCGGATTCTGATGTCTCAACCTTGACAGAGCCAACAATTACAGGGGTATTTCCACTACAAAATGACCAGGAAGTTTTCAACGATCAAGTGGGAGGATGAATCATTTGCAACCTTCACATGATAGAATGCCTTCCCTAGAAATATTGCTCGTTCAACCAGCCCTCGCCTCCGTTCTGCAGGTGCCGGCAAATTGATTCCGCTTTTATCGTCGAAGATCAACAAAAACAATAATATGTCACTCGCTGACTCACACTTTACTGCATGTAGAGTTCAGGTGTGAATTGTTGTGTCCACGCCATTCTGAGTAAATGTGACGTAACACATGTCAAACAGATAAAAAAGGGCTGAAATAGATATTCCCAAGTGTAGGTTTCACCAACGCAGATTTAAAAAATGACGCTATTGCGTGATCGAAGCCAATCAACGCTTATTTTTGCCCTTCCCTCCGCTGCAAAACTTCCTCAACCAAAGATCCTGTCTGCCGCCCGTTACCGACTGAACAAAGATTGACTCTGCTCCAAATTTCTCCCTTACTGATAGATGATATCATTGCCATGTGACTTTGGAGGCCCGTACAGCCTCTTATCACATATGACAAACGTCATAGAAGATTAAAGGATTCTGAGAGGAGCAGCTAAGGGGCTTATCCTACGGGGCTGAATCGGTTTTTTTCTCGAGAAGAACAAGATGACGTTTCGAAAAAGTTCTATATCAAATAGGGGGAGAAAGTGTAAGTGGGTCAAATAATTCTGGATGGTGAAAGTTATCAATAGAAGGGATTATAGAACTGGTGAGTGCTTTTGAAGTCTCGTCAAGGGTCAAAGAGGAAAAAATATTATAAGGTTTTCAGTCAATTTTTNTTTTTCGCGGGCGCAAAAAGTAGTTCAAGTCGACAGCCCAATACCGATTGCAAGTATCATAAAACAGTTGAGACAGTAGACTTTGTTACCTAGTAAACCTTTTGGGTTGACGATTCCGCAGTAGTGAGTGTTAATAATGTTTTTTCAGTATTCCTACGAAAAAAGCTAAAATCTCCCATTTCTTTTATTTCAAGACCGTATTTGATTGTAGGTTGCTTCTCTCACAATAGTTCATCACAAACAAATTCCTTCAAGTTTCACCTCAAGTTGTATTGAAGTTATACTAGGTTAGTGCGTAATGATTGCGGACTTTTTCGCCGCTTTTTTTCTCTCGATAGAATTCAAATACTGAATTCATAACTGTTATAGATATAACCCTTTCGCTTTTCTCAACAGAATCATCTAAAAAGTCATCTTCATACTAACCACTCTATGCTCTACCACTTCGAGAAAGGTTGGAAGGTGGCGGGAGTCGTTTCGCGATCTCAAAGAACTTTTCGGGAAGGAGCAATCAGTCAAAGCCAAGTAAAAATTGAGATCTGCTCCTAAAACCGTCATATTTACCTATTGAAATCTCTATGGATTATCACGACAACGGTTTATTGAAAAATTGGCTAGCCAATAGAACCTAGTACGTAGAAATGGATGACTTTATGGCCGATGTCAAAGCGAGGATCGTCTCCAAAAACCGAAACTTCTCCGCCTTAGGAATCCGACTGCCTAGCAAATGGGAAGCAGTGCTCGACGTAGACGGTGGATTCCTTCCGGAGTAAATGTTTGAACATTTTTTGTTTAGTATTTTTATCAAATCTTTGAATAAAATTTGTTGAAAAATCACAATAATTATGTTGAAAATCGAATTTCAACTACAAAAGACAGAACGAGATCAAGAAAGGCGACATGGGAAACCTTCCATTGAAATTAGGCGCTGGAAGTATCGTTGTGGATCTTTGGCCCGATTCATATGGATACTGTAGGTGTGCTTGCTCTCCCGGCAAATGTATTCTGGTGCATCGATGAATGACATTCCGCCTACATGCTTTCGTCGGATACCCGCCTTTTCGGCGAAGATTCCCGTGAACAGCGCATCTTCAGGTAGCATCCTTAAATGAGTTTTTCTTATTTTAGGATCACCATCAAATGGAACTTCAAAAAGAAAAATAGACATCAGTCTCCCAAATAACTGCAACCCTTTTCGGTTAAAGGCACAGTTCACGATAATTTTGAGGTACCCTTTTTTTTCGAAAAGCGGAAATATAGATTGGGAATAGTTCATCGGAGAATGCGAGAGAATTCGCCGATTTCGAGAAAAATATGGCTACTCAAAAGTAGGGAAAAGTTGTTGCAGTTGCGCAAAGAGCTGACTACATCAAACCAGAACTGTACAGAACTATCTTTCACTGTCGCTATGGATCATGACAGATTGTTTGAGCTTCCCTACATGGGTTCCCTTGTGGTCGGTGCAGCCTCTACAATGCCGGTAAACTCGTCCGAGAGTACACACGCGCCAATCTGGGCATATAACTCCCTAACTATACCATTTTCCGGCCTAACAGTGCCAGATATGGTGAACTGTGCCTTTTAAACCAGTGAGTCCTATTCTGGGGGTCTTTGAGTGTGCACCGTTCGGCGATAAAATTTTAGGACGTATCGAACGTGTATTTAGCACATATAACGACTTGCGGTGGCCAACCAATGTACAAGTCAGTTTAGTCTCCCAGACGAGCCGATAACAAATTGCCGGACACTGAGGGCCTGACTGGCCTGGGCGGGTATCGGTCCTGGGATTCAAGCTCTGAATAATGCGTTTCATAGGGCGCCACTTGGCACTGAACACACCATATCAGCTCCAAATTAGGATGATCAGAAAAAGGAACAGAAATAGCAACTAGGAAATTTACTATGGACAAGACCCTACTGTAACTTTACCAGCTTTGTGTTGTGCTCTTATCTACCAGTTAGGATAATCTACTATCCCTTATGCTTGAGTGGGCTTCGTGCACTGACCCTAACTTCGAAATAATTTCTAGAGAAATTTCTGGAACTTGAGGGAGTTAATCTGAGGTGGTGTAGTGGTAAGCGGCGCACCCGTCGCACACGCATAGTCACGTTTTCGAATCCCTGATCCGGCTAGACCAAGCCTTTCACCCCTCCGGGGTCGATGAATTGGTACGAGACCAGTCTGGGAAGGTAAAAGAACTGATGCACATTGGTTGGCCACCGCAAGTCAGTATGTAGGCCCCCATTTGGAACCTCCTAAAAGTTGAAACCTCCTGAAGGTTCGACGGACACACTCCAGAGACTCAAAGAACTCCAGATTAGGGCCCACTCATCTGACCGGAAAGGGTAGTAGTTTTTGGGCAGGCTGAAATTCCTAGTCTTTTTTTCGACGCTTATGGAACGATCGATAAAAACTGAGCCGATTACCTGTAATTAGCCGAATAAGGGAACCAACTTTCCTGCGATGCCTTCAGAAGTCGCTGCGCTACGTCAGGTCCTGAAAAACATCAGCGATTTCCACTGAAATAAGATACCCTTTTGCTCAACAGATAGCTTTTTTTGATCGAGGGCTTGTTATGTCGCTTATAATCCATTCCATCGAATATTCCCTAAGTAAATCTTTCGGCCTGTTTTCAAGGGTCTTGTTAGAGATATAACGAGGGAGCTAACAATAAGACCAAGACCCAACCGTGTCAGTCGGCTCTGTGAGTTGATGGGATCGTCAATAAAGAGGGACACTTGGGCAACAGAACGAAACGACTGAAGCTTTCCTGTGAAATTTCACGCCCAATTGTCCGCTTGTGCTGAACAAGTCCACGGTAAAAGAGTAGGGTTGAGATCAGTGAATAGCGAAATCAACAGGGAAAAGAGGCGGGGGAATGGCAGGAAAGAGATAAGAATGGGTTGAATTACTCTTCCCATCATGCCTATTCGTAACGAGTCTTTCTAACTCCTTGATGGAAGATTTAGAAAACTGAGCTTCTTGAGATGGGAAAGAACGATCCCTGAATGAAGTCAGTTGGCAATTTCCCTTACTATCTCTGTTCAGGCGAGCAGTAAGTGGTTTTCCGCAGTAACAGCCAAAACTAACATGAACTTCTCAATTGTAAATTTTGCATTTCCTGACATCTACATTCTCATGAACGAAGATCCGTATCCGCTTTTCTTTCTATCGACATAACTTACCGCAAAGCATGTACGTCCCAGTCGAGCAGTACATAGGAAATTGTGGATGTGGGTAGATGGATTCGGGTACTTTCCATTTGGTACGGCTTCGTTGTACTCGTGTTGATACGTCGCATTTGCCAACAATGCGAGGTCCAAATGAAAAGCAAATATTAATTAGAATAGGTTACAGTAAGGTTAGTATTACGCCTATTACAAAAAACTTGGGTGACAGTAGCAATTGCCAGAAGAACCGCTACACTTTATAGGCACAGTTCACGAGAATTTTGAGGTACCCTTTTTTGGTTGAAAAGCGGAAGTGTTAATGCAGAGGAGCACACTGGTGGCAAAGAAAGCGTGAAAATCCGCCTACTTCAAGCTTTTCGAAAGTAGTGGAAGTGGAGGTTGTACGAGATCACTGCGTCAAGATTGGTTTTTGGACGGAATTTAACTTGCTCTCCCGTACAAAGAGCTGACTACGTCAAATCATAACTGTCCAGAATTGCCTTTCACTGCCGCTACGAGTCATGAAAAGTTGTTGGAACTTTCTGCATTAGTTCCTTTGTGCATGGTGCAGCCTTTACAAAGTCGTTGAAACTCGTCCATTAGAGGAGTGGCATTCACATGATACAATATCTGGACCCTTATTGTTCCCTATCCAGAACGTTTTTCGCTCTTATAACAGCAGGTATGAGATAAGGGAAAGCCTCGAATTCATACTTTAAGGAAATCTCAGGAGCCATTTTTTTCCTGAACCATGCCCTTAAGAATTCTAAACTCGACTCACGGCTATCAACTTGAGTGAGATGTACCGATCTTAATTTTTTTTTCTTTTTCCCCGGGGAAATTTTCGCAGAATTTCCACTAGAGAGTATTCTTTTCTCTTCTCTCTGTTTCCTCAGGAAACGAAGATCTTGTACAAAAAATTGCAAATTTCAAGAGCTACCATCAGGACAAGCTGGTGTTCTGCCAGTTGATGAGGTATGGGAACATATGGGCCGTTACGGGCTTCACGAAATATCCCAATCAAAAACGGACCATACTTGTTTCCTCGCAGAGACGCTCATAGTTACGAACCACCAAGACATTATCGGAATCGGCTTTTACAAGGCACTTCGCAGATGGCACTCTATAATAAAAAATTGTACGAAAAATATCATAAAATTGAATTTAACGCTGTGAGTTTACTGATTTTGCTGCCCAAAGACAAAAATTGGTCTGAGAAAACCTCTCTCTGGGTACATTCGCAAGTACAGCGAACCGTGAACACCTGTTTCCTACCTCATATCTTTGAAATAGAGCATTGCATAGGTTTTCAGTGATAGAGAATAGTAGTCTTCATGTATGCCAGCCACGACGATATCATGAAATTTTCCTTCTTCTATTGCTAGCAATTCTTCAAGCTCTATCGTAGCCTAAATGGGTGCATTTCTGTGCGTAGAAAAAAACATGATCACAAAATATTCAAGTGTAAATCAAAATATGTTTATTCAACAGAAACAGTAAGCCGGTCTATATACTCGTTGTGATTACATTATTCTTGTGCCGTACGAGGTTTTAGGTGGAACAATTTGTTAATCAACGGTCTAACGTTTCGACGTTATCGCCTTCTTCAGAGGCTTAATAGTACATAGAGCAGGAGACGGAGATTTCAGCCAAAAAGGCTTAGAGGCGTTCTGAATTTTCCAAAGCAGTCCTAAAATGAACGTTAGAGATGAGTGCCCGTCCATAACCAAGAGTCTTTTGCTGTATATACCGCTTTGCGACTTGTTACTCAGTAGCATTAAAACGTGATTTTCCTTATCTCAAGTATAAGAGAGACAGCCATATAAGTCCCATTCGTTACTGACAGTCGCCTGTGGCGACAGGTGATTTTATATCCGCTTAAGCGGTGGAACTTTGGTGAGTTAAGATTTGAATTGTGGGTTTGAATTTGTTGTCACATCCGCCAAAGGGGGAGATGCGCTCTTTGGGTACTGTACATTGTGTCTCGAGTTGCTTTAGGCCTTTGAAAAAGACAACAACGTCGAAACGTTAAATAAATGACTTAATAAATGTTCCACCTAACAATTTCGCACGAACATCTACTGGTGCCTATGCAGAGGTTAAAGCAAGAGAGGAGTTGGAGGCTACACTAATCGTATTATTCAGGTAAAGTGCTGCTAAAGCGAAAGACAAAATTTGTTATGAGAGAGCTCTTCGAGAAACTTGAACAATGAGTGAATAATTAAACCGTTCACTTACCGGTCTACCTATGAGAAACAATACTCTGGTATTCCGTTCATCGTATAAGTCCGGTACCGCCCATGATTTTCGGATCATTTCTCGTTCATCGAATCGTTCAGGCATGGAGTTCACCATAACAAGCATCCGCAAATCGTCCTCTA